CCCCACCCTCCCGAAGGTTACCAGTGGTTTGGGATCAGTGAGCAAAGGGATTGGGCGACTGCAACTCTGTCGTTCCCCTCTTATGACAACATTGTTTTCCATTTTACTGAATGACTCAGTTTATGATGTTAGGCGCGTAGAATCGTGCGCATAAACAAATAAATATTGAAGCGCTCATACGACACCGAGAAATATGCCTGTGTTTTTTGTTACGTCCATTCTGCGATTGCCTACGCATCGAATGATCGCTTCGAGAAGCAAGATACCCTTAGAATGCATGGAGATGAAACCGATCTTTGGGTCTTTCGCTCATAATACATATTAAACACCAGGAACCCGATAAGTGAATAAAATACCTTGTTAGCAAAAACTAGCAGAGGACGAGGCGGATTCCTCGTTACGAAACATCGCATACACGTAGGGGTGACAAGGCACTGATCCGTTCTTGCGTTAGGAAGTGGTACGAGAATTGACGTATGTTCTGGTAACCAACGTGAGCTTCCCCATGGCACATCCTAAAAAACAGAAACTTGGAGACAAGTTCTAAGAATTGCTGTTTATTTGAAAGGGAAGAATAAATCGAATAATTCCCAATTATTGTAGATACAAAGGGAGAAACTCGCACTGATGTTGAAACTCGCACTGACGCACCGCATAGGAAAATTACCCTTTTACGAATAAACACAACAATAAATCACTTTATCGTTGAATCGGTTTTCTAAAACTACACAATCGCGTGAGATATCCGAAGTACGTTTCGCGCAAATGACTGCTTACGCATTACACACGAGGACCGCGTAGTGATCTTCAGTACGTGCCGATTGAATGACGGGTCTAGCAGTTGTGAACTTAGACCAGCAGACAAAGTGATGTATGACCGACCACTAACCACTAACTTTCTCATTGTTGATGCTCAGGTGAGTACTAATGAATGTAGTTTTACCTGAACACGAAACAACTGACCATTAATGTTTTGATTGGAGTGAGGAGTATATTTCCATCAGCTAGACCAAAAACGACGAACGTTGCTTCTGGCCCCAAACAAACAGAGACAGGTTCAACGTATTGATGGTAGAGGGAAAGCCTCTGTGTCAAACTCCGTCGAGGCTTGTCGTTTGCAACTTCGCAATATGTCTGCACATCGCCTTGAAAGAACTGGTTATATAAGTAATCATAAGACGGTTTATAAAGTTTCAGCCTCTGGGGCTTGAACACAAGTGGATTCAAGTGTGATAGGGCCGTCACATAATAGCAAGCAGATTGGATGTAAAGGCAATCGTAAGTAATAAATAATATAAAAAGAGAAGGAAAAGAGAAATATAACAATAAACATATAAACATCCGATTAGTTCAACACTAATTGCGTAGAACGAAATCTTTAAATGTCCTATACCTCTTGACGAAGTATGGTTGGGAAGTAATTTCTTTGGATTCAACTTGAAGAAGTATTGCCCCCAAATGAGAGGCGCACTTCATTCAGACAAAGGATTCAATTACACAGATGAGAAAGGTGGCCCAAGCAAGCTTGGAAATAGCGTATTGATATGAGGTTAGAATTTCAATCCGAGGCTTATTTGCTTTGACTAATTTCGCTGAACCCCTGCATGGGTGATAAAAGAAAAAGGGATAAAACTAAGGTAGGAAGAAGCAACCATAACCGGAGTGAATGATAAAAGGAAGTATCTTAAAAGAAAAGAATGTAAAAAAATAGTTAAACATAGGAAGCAGTTTAGCCCGAAGACGTAAGCACACCTTACCGCTTGACGCTAGAAGGACAACAAGAACGAAATTCTCCTCGGATATGTAAGCGAAATCAATAATGGCGTGATCCGGACTCAGTTCGTCCAATTGGACTTCACACGTATAGGGATTTGCCATCATTCTTTGCTGATCTAAAAACGAAAGAAATCAGTAATTATTGTAATAAATAGGATTTAGCTTTATATTCTAAGTTCTAATCTGTAAAATCGTAGTCACTATCACACACCCTTCTTTGATCGATGGCTTAATCTTGTATGATGATGACTTTTCACCATTACAACGCAGGGGAACAAATTACTGTCAGCAGGTAAAATAGAACAATTGCGGATGGTTACATCAGGTTGTGAACTGGAACTAGTGCAAATGGAGGGGTGATATGCACGTGATAAAAGTAGACGTAGTAGACGACACGCCTCTCAATTCCTCCGACGAACCGAGCCAAGGTGACGGAGATTTATTTATAGGACAGAGAGATACGTTGAAACGGAAGAGAGGATACGGAGCCAATGTCTCCGCTGGCAGCTGGTTCAGAAGTTTTTTTGATTACGAGCTATACAGCGACCAGATTCGCTGAGAAGTATTTATGATATTTCCTCAAGCACGCTCGAAGAATTCTTCCACTCGGTCCAGTAAAGCTCTATAGCATAGGAACGAAGTAGAATTTCCCACACTAACGAAGATTGAACTATGTCCGAAGAGTCCGGCTCAGATCGGCCACATTGGAGTGGTAGTCTACCGAGCACGAAGTATCATGGAACTGACAGCATTGACTGCTCTGCCGTAAAACTATTATCTGGAACCATCTCATAAGGGGTAATCCATCATAACACCTTCGATTTCGCTTTTCTCTCATTCGATTGGTGGTTTTGCACGATTTAAAGTAAATGAAATCATTCAGAACCGGATTGGCCATAAATTCCGTCCACAACCCCGCCCCCACTCTCATTTTCACCCTAGAACAATAACACCCACATATGTAAATAGTGGCAGTGTGTAGGTTCAAGCGAAAATGTGTTCGTGCGTGAAGAGGGGTACGAAAACAATTAAACTGCTGAATCAATGGAAAATTAGAAAAGATGTCGGCAGTTGATTACAACCTTGCAAGCAGGCAGATAATGCGGAACATCTTTAGAGGCATTTGAAGAACTTTCTCGATAATGTTCACTCACCTCATGGGAATATAGGTCGCTGTGCTAGAAAATTGGCAATGTGTGCGTGTAAGGCGACTGGGTAAGTTTGGAAGACACTTGTGCTTACGGCTTTAACAAGGGTGGCCAGAGAAGCCGGCAGGGTTTAAAGGACGCGTACTCGTTTGCCGCAGAGCAGCTTCTAAACAGCTTCTGCGAGGTACGAGAGAAATTTCAAAAATTCAAATGTTTTCTGCGTTAGAGATGTTTGACTTTGGATCGAAAAACATGTTTAGCACCTTTGGGAGGTCGTTGCGTCTCAGTCCGCAGTCCACAGAAGTAGTTTAGCCACAGAATGAGCCTGAGATATTTGTAAAGCTAAGTAACTACGCAAGGAACTCTCCTAGATTATCAATTAACAGTCGCTAGCGAATTGCCCGGAAGGACGTGTATACTCACAAACATAAGGCAATAGTTTTCTATGGAATTTTGCTGTTGTGTGGACCACTTTACTCAAGCAATGAGTAAAGTCGCGGTACTCTAGTTGCACTTCAATCGTCAATCATTCATGAAGGTCAGCCACGTGCTTTATGAAATCCCATGGAATGGGATGGTACTGGTCGCTTTAGCTTTCACAGACATCAGTTGTTGTCTGAGCTCAGCTCAACGACAGCAACATTTCCATACACAGAAATGATGTATTGATCACTGAAGGTACTACTCACAGTGTTAGTGGATACAGTGGAGAATCATTAACGCGATAGAAGACCTGGTTCCCCTAATGACCGATGGGCAGTGCGACAAAATTCGTTGTTTGACAAGTAGGAAAGTGAAACACATATAACCCCTTGGGAATTTGATTTTGTGCGAAGAGGTAGCGTAGTGGCATGTCGCGCATTATCACATACACTTGCTCAGGATTCGATTCCTAGATCAATACTCGCCCTGGCCAACCGACCTTTCATTTTTCCGCGGTCGATTACCCGGTACTACTCTTTGAGGATAAAAGCATTGGCTTGTGCAACACAAAGGCCGGCAACCGCAACTCATTATCAAGGTCACATGAGCATTTAAACCAGACTACGATTTTGAACGGAAGTCGAAGGCGGGGCTCATCCCAGAACAGGAACCGATTACCGCAGAAAATCGACCCCCTTATATTTTTCTAGGATGCGATGGACGAAGTTGAGAGTCCCATGCGATGTCACCATCACGTGTGAATCGTTAATCTTCTGAATCGTTACCCACTTGGTCAGCCATTCCTCCTGTCAGAATTCGGCAACTGTGTAGGTTCCTTGTGTAGGAGTGTGAAAGCTCTGTTTTGTACACCAGCCGATTCTCGCATCTCATTGTAATGACCAAATGTGCATAGAAACATAGCTCTCTAAAATAGGTTAGGCTTGTCTTTCATAGTTTACTGCATACTCACTCCAGAGAAGGCTAGACCAGCCAGTGATTCGTTTCATTGATGCTTTATATTTATGAATCTGAGGCACTCCGCCTTCAACCGATCATGATTGTTTGGAGGAACTAGGTTGACGATGATGAATCCACAAAACTGGAATGGCAGCCGAACGAGTCATGAGCTGGGGCTACCATCCTCTAGAAAATAAGAGAAGGCAGTTAAAACTCGGGTAAAGGGGCTCTTCAATCGACGAGGTCTCAACGCAGTAGGCTCTTACAATTTTTAGTTCTATGCATACAAATGCTTCACTTGGCTGGGGAACGTCTTCACACCACATTGACTCTATCTGTAAATCGGCAACTTTTCTGTAGTTGGGAATGTCTAGTTTCGCTGACATCGGCAATTTTTTCCTGAATTTCGCTGAAATTAAATCGTATTTAGGTTTCATTCGGCTCACTGAGTGAATGCTTCCGTTTATGTACACCGAGATTTGATTCCCTTCTCCCTTCCTGAATACCATATCGCAAATCGATTTCGTGGAGTGTTGGGGAATGAATTTCTGCGACATTCCATCACCATTTGATCGAACCCCGTTTTATTCCAGTCATATAATGCGTGAATGCTGCAGCTGTTGCTGGTAGCACGCCAAGAAATTCCTAAATTTTTTGAGGATTCGGGGCTGTTCCTCATGATGTTGGTCGCTACAATCCATTTATTTCATTTTCCGAACTCGGTATAAAGTCAGATGTCGCTTTTTTCAAAGGTATTACATGAATACATAGATTCCTGTGGTTGTCTTATACTGTGGAGAAACTTTGGTCTATAAGGGAGCGTGAGGCGTTGTGAGAGTGTAAACGATAGAGAAATCGCCCAATAAAGGCCCAAAATTTAGTCTGGGCTTTCCCTTGTCACCAGCGTGTGGGGAAAAGGAATTTTACTCTCCTACAGCACTCTTTTCTTTCTGGCTTTCTTGCTGATAGCACCACCGTAAGTTGTTGTTTTTTCGAAGGCCAAACCCTATTTCCAGCTTACAATCTATGCGATCAAATGGATCATGAACTGAGTCTTCAAGAATTTCTTCGGAATGGGAGCTTTGGATGTTCATTTACGTTGGCAAGTTCCCTGAAATGGACCGAAGAATAATGCACTTAAAGGCACAGTTCACGATAAAAATGGTTTCTGAGACTTCTCCATAAGAGGAAGTCGAGGCTCCTCGTATACCATATCTGACGCTATCAGTTCGAAAAACGGCCTAGTTAGGGCGTTATGGGGGCCCAAATATTGTATCATGTGTGTCCTAGGACGAGTTCCACAGACGCTGCAGAAGCTGCACCATTCACAAGGGAACCCAAGTAGAATATTATAACATTTTGTCATGACCCATAGCGACAGTTAAAGACAGTTTTGTACAGTTCTGGCTTGATGTAGTCAGCTCTTTGCGCAATTGAAACAACTGAAATCTCGTCCGAATACCCCTTCCGTGTTATTTCCGTCACGGTAATTTCGTCCATCCTCTATTTTCTCTTCCTTTAAGGAGCCATATTTTTCTCGAGAACGGCAAATTCTCTCGTTTTCTTTTTTACCGAGGAACTAACTATTCCTAACCTACACTTCCTATTTTCGAGTAAAAAGGGGTATTTCAGGTCCCCTTTTAATTCGAAAATCGAAAGTCAAAGTTATCGTGAACTATGCCTTGAAAATTAGTTATCAAAGGAAGGAATAGCCAGTAATAGACATCTAAACTCAGCTAAGCATTGTTGTGGATTCATATTTTGGTTCAAGCTACTCGTAGCTGCTAAATATCATTGGTTCGGTTGTTACAAGCGTCCAATGCATGCAATGTAGTCATCTAAGCAGCTTATGTGTACGGCTCTTTCTCTCTAAAGTCCATTTTATTTGATTATTTTATGGCAGAAACTTGGAGGTAACCATATGATGGAAATTCTTAAGCTTTCCAGATGTCTTTTGGATGTGGCATAACTTTTATATTGCCCATGTCCCCCACATCTCATAGGTGTTTCTTTGGCGGTAAGGCCGGTTTTGTGTTGAGCCGGTAGTGTGAAGTTCTTTGTAATTTAAAAGGCAGTGACAGGTTTCTGAGAGCTACAATTGAATCGCTTGCGGTCAACATGAACCCTTTCATGTATGTATGTGTGTAGCAACATGATAAACAATGTAAGTTTTAGCACCATCAGAAGTAGCATGACAAGACAGCCTTGATTCCATTCCCTGTACCTGGACAGGAGTAATTACCTAGCCTATCTACCCCGCACGCAACACAACTTCTTAACATTGATTGGTATGAATCAACAGACACGATGGTTTGCTTGGCTTGGAAGAGCAAGGACCCCGTCTCGGTCGCCAGTACATTGAGCCGGAGGTTAGGGTTCACTTAGCAGCAACTTGACCTACAGGCGCACTTTAGTGATGAAAAGGACCTCATCACTGCACAAATGAATCATTGTCAACGTGAGCAGAGCACTATTGCAGGAAGATACCGTAATCCCCTCACTTCACTGCCCCTTTCGAAAAAAGTCGAGTGCTATTAGGTAAGGGAAAAACGTGAGTGAAGGTCGAAGATACTCACA